TTATGATTTGGCCTTAGACTAAGAATAGCTAAGAGCATTATTATGATCTGGCCTTAGACTAAGAATAGCTAAGAGCGTTGTTATGATCTGGCCTTAGATTAAGAATAATTTAAGAGCACTATTGAAATAGTATCTGAATTGAATAAAATGTGTTGATATGAACTGAATAATATCAAAACTGTGAATGTCTGAAACGAACATTGTGTGCATGATATCAAAAGATTTGATTATGAATTTAGATTCAGTTTATATGGATGTTCAACGCATTAGATATGCTTACTCAGCTTTACCGCTGAGCGTGTAGTGTGTTTTATTTGCTACACGCAGGTAAACAGAAAGATTAATGTGATCCTGGCGGCAGATGGGGCGAGATTGTCAGGATGGATGTGACAAGTTTGAAATGATTTATGATATGTCAAAATTAAATTCGCTTCCGCAATATTGTTGAATACTCCGTACTGTATGTGTTATGAAAAATATTATTGTGATATATAAAAGTGTTTGAAAAGTTTTAAATTTTTACGATTACCAAGTTAAATACTTTAGTCCCAAAGGGGCTGCAGATCTGGACGGATTAGGGTGTTACAGTTGATACCTTCAAAACTAGATTGGTAGCAAAAGGTTATAGGCAAATCCATGGAATTGACTATGACGAAACCTTTTCTCCAGTTGTGATGCTGAAGTCCATTCGGATAATGCTTGCGATTGCAGCGTTCTACGATTACGAGATTTGGCAGATGGACGTCAAGACGGCTTTCCTTAACAGGAACCTCAACGAGGATGTCTATATGACACAGCCTGACGGTTTTACAATTGCTGGTGAATCTGCCCATGTCTGTAAGCTGCAACGGTCAATCTACGGATTGAAACAAGCATCTCGGAGTTGGTATATACGCTTTGATGAAACCATCACTAGTTTTGGTTTAGAGAAGAATTCTGACGAGTCTTGTGTTTACAAGAAGGTCAGTGAGAGTATGATAGTATTCCTAATCCTATATGTCGATGACATATTGTTAATGGGTAACGATGTTCCTGCTCTTGCGTCTGTAAAGACTTGGTTGAGCGAGAACTTCGCCATGAAGGACTTGGGGAATGCTAGTTATGCCCTTGGCATAAGAATCTACCATGATAGGTCAAGAAAGTTGATAGGTCTATGTCAAAGTAAATATATAGATAAGGTCCTTGACCGATTTAGCATGTCTAACTCGAAAAAGGGATCCTTACCTATGTTACCTGGCACGACTCTTTCCAAGAGCCAGAGTCCTTCTACTCCGGAGCAGAAGGAACTCATGATGAAGGTCTCATATGCTTCTGCAATTGGTTCCATCATGTATGCCATGATATGTACTAGACCTGATGTCTCATTCGCTTTAAGTGTGACCAGCAGATACCAGGGGAATCCAGGTGAAGCACACTGGACAGCGGTCAAGAACATCCTAAAGTATCTTCGGAATACTAAGGATGCATTCCTGGTATATGGAGGTGAGGAAGAGCTGAAAGTGATCGGTTACATTGTGCACATTGAACTTAACTAATTAAAAGGTATGAAATTAAACAAAAACAAGTTCTAAATAGATTTGACGTAAAAGAAGTGATATAAAGTTTATAGTAGCAAACTTATTCTTAAAGAAATTCAAACATATTTGTTACAAAATTCATTTCAATTTAATGCAAAAAATGCAACACTTAAGAGTCCTAAAAGATTAAAAGAAACTATTATGATTTCTACTTTTTTTTAATACTCTTCTCTTTTTTTAAAAAAGATTTTTATGTGAAAGATTATTTTTTTTTGAATGCTATTGACTCTATGTGTATGAAAGTAGAATTTTTAAATGCATACATGGAAGCACACAAGGCAGATAAAGTGCAAGTAAAGACTAGAATAAAAGAAAAGAAAAAAGTAATAAAATGCATAAAAGTAAAAGTTTAAATATCTGGGTTGCCTCCCAGAAAGCTGCCCTCTTTTAGTATCTTTGGCTAGACTCCTCATTCTACTCGGGACAACATGGAGAATCCATATTGTACTCTTAACAACCTGTGATCACCCAAAACAAAACTCCACAACAAACCAAATAGCTAATCACAAGGTCAAAATAAACAAGAAAAACTAGTCTTAGTATTACTCACAAATTAATTTTCCAAATAACCACATAAACCTCTAACAACAAAATTTCTCAAAAAGTGATCAAGTTTCTGAAAAATTAGGAGTTTTGGTGCTTAGGTAACTACTTTCAAAGCACAAATAACACTAATTGTTAGCATATATATTTATTTACTACCATATATGTAATTAGTTTCCTTTGTAATTAGTTTCCTTGTTAGTAGTGTAATTAGTTTCCTTGTTAGTAGTCCTTTCCATACTTGGAGTAGGACTTGGCACATGTATATATACGTTGTGAATATTGAATGAAACGTAGCTCAGTTTTTCCAAAATTTTACATGGTATCAAAGCTCGGAGCTCCGTGTCCATTGTCGCACGCCAATTGGCGTGTGGGACTGCCTCAGAGTAATTTTTAGGAACAAAATGAGGGCTGATGGCGCCAAGAAATCCTCGATACCTGTCATGCAATTTATGATAACAAACAAAGTTGGCAATAGGATAACGTGTATCTGAAGACGACGACTGGGAAGGCAATGAGCACAATGGAGCGGGAGTTTGAACAGAATTGACGATGTAATCACTAAGATGGGATGGCTGACGACGCTGCCGTTGAGGACGAAGCGGAGGGGCGGCGGCTGTATGGGGGTGGGGCTGGGCGTCGGTGGGCTGCTCGGTGGCAACTGTCGGCTGGACAGGCTGGTCGTTAACGACGGCAGCCGGAAGTGGGGCGGGCAGGGGTAATTCGGGAAAGTCGGCATGTGGGGTGGAGGTAGAGGGTTCGGCCGGCGTGTGATGTGCGGCAAACGGGAACGTGCTCTCGTCAAAAGCAATGTCCCGAGTGTGAAAGAAACGATGAGTATCAAGGTCATACACACGCCAACCTTTTGTGCCGGAGGGGTACCCAACAAACATGCACTTGGTGCTTCGAGGAAAAAATTTGTTGGATGTCCTGAGTCGTACAAAACATAGACATCCAAAAATTCGAAGATGACTAAGATCTGGTGCTTTGTGATTTAGAACTTCAAATGGAGACTTACCACCAAGTAGTTTGTTGGGAGTACGGTTAATTAAATAAACAGCAGTACGAACACATTCCCCCCAGAATTCAATAGGTAAGTGAGCTTGAAACATAAGGGAGCGGGCGACATTTAATATGTGTCTATGTTTTCGTTCTACCCGACCGTTTTGTTGTGGAGTACCTACACAAGAAGTTTGAACAAGAACACCCAAAGTGGCATAATATGACCGAAGGTCTTGATTGACAAATTCGGTGCCATTATCAGAACGAACAATTTTTATGGTTTTATGAAATTGGGTCTGTATCATGGAAAAAA